GATCGTTGTCCAGAAAATCGAAACGGAAGTTGCCAGACCCAGAGCTTGAAGACGCCCTTTGTCAGAGGTTACCAGGTGCAACTCCGCATATTTGGCCTGCAGTCGGAGCCTTAGTGGGGAAGGCGTGTGGAGAGCCGTCATTCATCATGTCTCATTATATAAGGAGGGGGGGGCGTATTGGTCATGGTGCTCGTCGTCCGAATACGCACAGGGATAAGCTGTAAGGTCATCGTGTCAGAGGGGGAAACGGAAGGTGAAGCCATTTGGAGGTTGTCGGCCATCACTAATAATTGCCTTCTTCTCTAGCACTTTGAATCAAGAACCGAACCAAAAGGTAGCGATGGCGAGCAAACCGCTGCCCGAGTACCATCTTTCGAGTGAAGTATACGGACTTCATCTTAAATGAGACAGTCTACACTTGCTGCAACAGTATCGCGAGAATGTCCCAGGCCATCGAACAAAGACGACTGGGGTGGTCTGGGCACATTCTCCGTCGTCCGTGCTGCTCTCCATCTGGCGCTGAAGCCAACCGGGGGGCTTTTAAGAGGTCACCTCAAGACCTAGCGCGACACAGTTCGTCAAGACACGGAAGCGGTTCTTGGACCGTCGGTTTTCGGTCTCCGTCGCTGGAGAAGAGAATGGGTGGAGCTTTCCAGATCCGCCGTCCTTGATCGTCACGCGTGGACAGGTGAGGCTGCCTAGATCGGGCATAATCGCAGCCGTATCAAGTACAGGTACCAGTATTTCAGACGGTATGCCTTTGAATCTGGAGCCCGCCAAACCAACTCCAAACGAGCCAAACAGTTACACGGCGTACACTTATGCCTTCTCTGCCCAACAATAAGTGCTCGAAATAACCTTAATTTCCTGTTGGCCACAGGAAAACGGGTTTAGCCCCTTCCATTTTATGGTTTATTTTCGACTGATAGACTGATCCCTCTGACTGTCTGTCAGGGTCAAGTCATTTCCAGCATGCTTTCTGCTGCCGCGACCAGCATGGGTGATTCTCTGAAGCCTTCCTCGTCGCCTTCATTACCTCATACGGACTGCAGAAATCTGTCAGATCAGCCTACTACAACAACAGCCACCGATGTCCCTTCCAGCACTAATCCTGCTGCCTCTGAACCTCTACAAAAGGCTGAAGCGGCACCGTCACAAATCAGCGAGGCCTCACTCCACCCCGCCCCACCGGCTGACGATAATACCGACGTCCCCGATTCCGCGGGGACAGAATCCAAGGAACAGGTGAGGGCCGATCAGGAGGCAAGACCTGAAGGTGATGAGGACGAAGATGAAGATGCCGGGGACTCGGAATTTGAAGTGCCTGCGGATTCACGTGCAGAGGAGGATGACGACAGTATTGCAGCCGATGAGGACATTGCTGATGAGGAGGAAGTCAACAGCCTCATGCGTGTACGTTTGCCCATGTCAGTTAACTCTATTGTGTCACCTGCATTTCTCTCATTTTGCCCCCTGT